TCCAAGCCAGTAAGAGGAAGGAAATTATAAAGATCAAAGCAGAAATCAATGAAATGGAGCCTAAAAATACAATACAAAGAATCAACGGGTCAAAAAGCTAGTTCTTTGAAAGAATAAACAAAATAGACAAGCCAGTCTTACCAAAAAAAGGAAAGGAGACACAAATAAATGCAATCAGAAAGGAAGAAGTTAAAAGCACAGTGAACACCACCAAAATCCAGATTATTAGAAACTACTTTACAAACCTGTATGGAAAAACTTGGAGAACATGGAAGAAAGGAAGAGATTCCTAGATATGAATTACCAGAACTGAACCAAGAAGACTTAGGTATCCTGAATAAACCAGTAACAGGCATTGGAACTGAAGCAGTAATAAAATCCTACCAACCAAGAAAATCCTGGGCCCTGATGGAATCATTGCCAAGTTCTGCAATAACCACAGAGAAACTCTAATACTAATACTCTTCGGACTCTTTAATGAAATTGAAAGAGAAGGAATATTCACAAAGTCACCCTGGAATCTAGCATTACCCTGATTCCCAAACCAGATAAGAGAGAACAAACCAGACAAAAAAGAAAACTGCAGGCCAATCTCTCTAATGAACATCGATGCAAAAACAAGACTCCAGCAAACAGAATGCACCAAATCATCAGAAAGCTCATACAAAATAAACAATCAGGCTTCATCCAAGGGATGCAAAGATGGTTCAACATATGCAAATCAATAATGTAATGCATCACTTAAACAGAAACAAGGACAGAAGTGATATGATCATCTCAATAGAGGCAGGAAAAGCCTTTGACAATATCCAACAACCATTCATAGTAAGCACTGAAGGAAATAGATACAATCTGATAAAGCCATTTAAAACCTATTGCCAACATCATTCTACATGGGGAAAAACTGAAAGCTTCTCCCTTTTAAAGCCAAGATGAAGACAGGGCTATCCACTGTTACCACCACTACTCAACACAATCTAGAGCAGTCAGGCAAGAGAAAGAATTGAGAGGTACATACAGGAAAAGAAGCCAAAGTATCATTTTTTTTAGGTGACGTGATCCTCTACATAGGAATCCCCAAAAATGCCACTAAAAGACTCCTAGAATTAAAAACCATATTTAGCAGTCTAGAAGGAGACAAAATCAGCACTCAAAAATCAGTAGTATTCCTGTATATTGATAATGAACTCACCAAGAAAGAAATTAGGAAAACAGTATCACCCACAGTAGTATCAAGAAAAAATAAATATTTAGGAATTAATCTAACCAAGGAAGTGAAAAATCTGTATAACAGAAGTTATTATCACTTCGTCTTACTTATTTCTCATTGCTGGGACAAAATACCTGACACCCAAAGTTAAAGGAAGAAAGGTTTATTTCTCCACACAGTTTGTGGAGGGTTCAGTCCATAATCGGTTGGCTCCAAGGCAGAATAGCATGGCAGAGGGGCAATAGTTCATGTTTGTGGAAGGTACCAAAGGCAAGAAGAGCAAAAAGAGGGAGCAAGCCTCTTTTCCTCCCTCATATTGTATGCAGGCTCACTGCCCTACGGCAGGTGTGGCACTCATACCTCCAATCCCAGCACTAGACAGTGAAACAATCACCAACTCTAGAGTCAGCCACCTCCACAAAGCCTCCCCCCACGACTGCATGAGGCTTTGGGGGAACATCCAGACACAGACCATAAACACACTCAAAAAGAAAATCGAAGACATCAGAAAATGGAAAAATATCTCAAGTTCCTGGATAGGCAGAGCAAATGTAATCAAAATGGCTGCACTGCTAACAATGATATATAGATATAACACCATCCCAATAAAAATGCCAACAGAATTCTTTGCAGATCTAGAGAAAACAATCCTAAAATTCATGTGGAACCAGAAGAGACTCCAAATACTGAAAGCAATCCTGGGTAGCAAAAGCAATCCTGGGAAACAAAAGCAAAGCAAGAGACCTTACAATTCCAGATTTGAAGTCATGCTGAAATCGACATGATAAAAGCAGCATGGTACTGTCACAGAAACAGAAATGTGGAGCAATGGAACAGAATAGAGGAAGCAGAAACAACCCCAGAAATATTCAGGTATTTGACCTTTGTCAAAGAGGCCAGACCATACACCTGAAGAAAGGTAGGCTCTTTAATAAATAATTCTGAGTAAATTGGATATCCACATGCAGAAGATTGAGTCTAGACCCATATGCCTCATCCTGTACTAAACTAAAATCAAAGTGGATCAAGAATCTAAATGTTAAAATGGAAACACTGAATCTGCTGGAAGACAAAACAGTTGAACCTCGTAAAGCTGTCAGTGTAGCCAAGGACTTTCTGAGCAGAACCCGGATGGCACAAGATATAATATGGAGAATCGACAGTTGGGATAATATCAAGTTAAAAAGTTGCTACACAGCTACACAGCAAAAGAAACAATCCAACAGGGTGAAGAGACAGCCCACAGAATGGGAAAATACTTTCGCCATTTATTCCTTGATCAGAGGACTAACATCCAGAATATATAAAGAACTCGAAAAATTAGGCCCCCAAAATAAAAGACCCAACTAAAAATGGGCAACTGAAGTGAATAGACACCTCTCAGAAAAAGAAATATGAATGGTCAATAAATAAAAGACAAAATGTTCAACACAACTGGCCACTGGAGGAAAGCAATTTAAAAATAACATCGAGAGTTCATTTTCCTGAAGAAAAAAAAAAAAAAAAAGGCAGCCATCAAGAAATAATGCGGTAACAAATGCTGATGAGGCTGTGGGGGAAAGGGATCCTTTCTACATTGTTGGTAGGAATATAAATTGTACAGCCATTAATTACTGTGGAGATTCCACAGGAAACTAAAAGAAATTCCATGGAACCCAGCTATTCCCCTTCTAGGTATTTTCCCAAGAGAGTTAAAATCATCATAATACTACAGTGACACATGCACACCTGTGTTTATAGCAGCGCAATTTATAATAGCTGAATCTTTGCAATGCTCATCAACAGATGACTGGCTAACAGTGTGGTACAGTGTTTATACACGGTGGGGCAGTATTTTGCCCTGAAGAAGGATAAACTTGAGGCATTTGTAGGTAAATGTGTGTACCTTGAGATCATAATATTAAGTGAAATAAATGAGATACACAAGCTTAAATATCACAAGGTTTCTCTTACATGAAAAACCCAAAATATAAAGAGCAAAATAAAAGACAGATAGTAGGAAATAGGGAGATATTTTTCAGATAGGAAGGAAAAGAGGAGATGGAGGGACAGGATAGAAAGAGGATGGGGAAAAAGAATGGAAATAGAGCTTTTGCAAGTGAAGCAGGAATCACAAGTTGGACGGAGCAGGGAGGGGAAGGAGAGGGAGGGGATGAAAAGTGTGAAAAGGTGTACAGCTGCCCACGATAAATGCAGTCCTATGTACTACAAACATGTGCTAATAAAAAATGTAAAAAATAATTGCTATGGTTGATCTCAGATCATACACTCTAAGGCTTTTGAATAGTCACTTGCAGTTTACCCAGAGGTAGTGAAGATTTTATGGTTCCTTACCTTCTGGAGTAGCAGGATTTCTTGTTTTTCATTTCGTCTCTGTGTAAGCTGCTATATTGAATCTGAGGAGCAGCCAGCAGAATCAGATAGATTATAAGATGTGTCTTCCGACCTTGCTCAGTACTTTATTGTGATTTTCTTCTTCACAATGCAGTACAGCTTTCTACTTCTCATGTTAGCAACATCCTCCCTGTTTACTCCTTTGTAGACATTTTGGGCTCCTTGGTGCTCTTAACAATCAGGGATGCCCCTTCTTAGGACCTTTCACTGCTGTTTCCTTTGCCTGGGATGCTCTTGGGTCAGTACGTTCTTAGCTTCCCTTACCTTCTTCAGGTCTTTAATATCACCTCAAAAGTCAAGCCCACCCAGACTATCCTTTTTAAAATTACAACCCCCCTCTCTATTTGTGATCTCCCATTTCCTGCAATGTTTTTGCATAGCACTTATAACTTTTTAGTATTCTGCACAATTTCCTTATTAGATATTTGTCTTGCTGTCTAATAAAATGTAAAGTCTTCAAAGGCAGAATATTTTTTCTGTTCTGTGTGTATATGCAAAAATATAAGTATATAATAAAAGAAAACATAGTGTTGGCATTCCATATCCACAGTTTTCTTTTCTATGGAATCAACCACCTGTGAATTAAAAATATTAAACCTCTATGGAATGTGTAGTTACCTTTTTCCTTGTCATTATTCCTTGAACAATACAGTATAACTGCTAAGTGAATGAAAATTAGGAGGTATGATAGACATTGTGAAATGAAAGGAAACTGCTCAAAAGTAAAGAGCAACTGGGATGAGGGAAAAGAGAAAAGAAAGAAGGGTCAAATTATGTGTATATGTATATACAGGATAGCTAACATAGTTGTACTACTGACTTCTGTTGCTTTACTGAAAGGAACAGTTAATGATTAATTATTTGACCTATCTTGCATGTCTGTATTTGTTTTCCTGAAGATATCAATAGTAATACAACATCCATTGTTAATTTCCTATCACTTTGTCTGTAATTTAGTATTGCTTGTATTGTTCTTAAGCTGTTTTGTAAATGGGTGTCTGTTTGTTAATATGTTTTTGTTCTTTTATTTTTGAAATAAATTGAAAAAGCATTTATATTGTGTTAGGTATTGTAAATAATCTAGAGATGATGTAAGGTATATAAGAGGATATGCAAATGGATATAGACATATAAGATATTTGAATATGCACAAATTTTGGTATTTGCAAGGATAGCAGAACTAATCTCCCACAGATACATGGATTGCCACACACACACACACACACACACACACACACACACATATAAAATCAAATATTTGTTGAATAAATGAATAAACTATCTTGAGGTGGTCTTACTTTTAAAGAAGTCATTTAGGGTCAGCATAATCCTATTTCCTGTTTGAGAGAAATGTGAATGACCTTTTAACTTACTTAGATTATTTTTCTCCCTCTAGATTCATCGAAACAAGAACAAGTGGAAATTCTATTTGAAAGATGGTGTTATGTGTTTTGGAGGGAGAGACTATGTGTTTGCAAAAGCCATTGGTGATGCAGAGTGGTAAAACCTATGAGCTCAGTACATCAGTTTTGTGAACATCCTTGGAACTATGCTACGTACAATGAAACTTATTTTTATCTTAAATGTATATAGTCCATCACAAAACAGCTCAAATTTTTAGTTCACAGTATTGAACTTAATAAAATTATAATTGAGATGCAGATATAAATATATAATTCTATATTTTGATTTGTTTTATCTCCCCCATTATCTGTACCCCATTATCCATACAAAAAATGTTTGATTGGATGTGATGGAGCATGCGGAAATATCAGAATGAGTCATTAGGTTAGGACCAGCCTTCCTCCCCCCACTCATGAAATCATGTTTCAAAAGGTCTTGGGGCTTCTTTTCAGTAGTGGGGCCTGGGAGAAGGCTTACCTGAGTGCTCAGTCTGTACTGGCAGTGTGCTGAATGTGCAAACGCACACGGTCCCTTGGAGGCACCTAAATTATTATTTAAATATGAAAATCTCTGTTGAGGCCAGGATCCCTGGAGCTAAAGTTTCTGGGTGTACGTGCCCAGGGCATCCTTCATATCCTGGGTAATTATGAGGTGTTGGATTAGGCTGCTCTTCTATTTTTTGGAACTTCAGACTTTATTTTAATCATGGAGGATTTCCCCATTCTTCCTGCTTTCTCTATTTTTCTCCACAGTGAAAGACCCTTTAGCAAACTCTCTTCCCTTTGAAGGCAGTGCAGTGGTACCTTGGTTCATGAACTTAATTCTTTCCACTATTCTGGTTGAAGAATTTGTTCCATGATTCTGGTTGCAAGGGAAGCAGTTTGATTGCAACCAGAATACTATGTATATGTTTGCAGTTTGGTTGCAACCTAAACTGTAGAAGGAATTCTGCGACCAGAGTCATAGAAAGAATTAACTGAGGCGTGACTGTATCTCTTTCTTTTCCTTAACAGAGAATCCCTCACTGAGCATAGGCTTTCTAAAACAAAAGTCAAGAAGAGATGTTCTCTTCAGGAACCTTCTGCTTTGGCCAGGCAGTCTCCCTTGAGACAGAGGACTGGACAGGCCTTCAAATCAAGGGGGGAAAACTACACAAGCCACAAATAGCTCTTTTTCTTACAAGCGTAAAAACAAAAGTGACGTAGTATCCCAATGAGTTCTTGCATAGTACTTCCTCCTTCCTAGACTCAAATCCCCCAAAAGAACGTTTTCCCCACTACCGTGTTTCCCTTACCGGGTTACGGGGTAGATGGTCTCTAGGTCTGGGAGCCCTAGTTTCAGTCCTGAATTATTATGTCCAGAAAAGTAACTTTCACACAAAAGCAAATGCAGGGAAGAATAGGTTATGGTTTTTACAAAAGTTCCCTAAATATTCAGTATCTGGATCTGGTTGGGCACAGGACAGATTCCTCAGTTTCTTTTTGGAAAGCAGCCTCACTTGGAAAGTTTAACTTATTCTAACACTGGTGCTGTCCTACCCAGGAGCCTCAGCTCTTGATACATCTTTTCACAATCTAGACCGATCTCCTGTGCCCTGGACAACATCAGTAGAGTGCTGTCTTTGCCCTAAGGTTGGAAGCTTTATGAAGATTCAGTTAGCACTGGGGGTGGGCTGTGTCTCTAACCAGATCCTCCAGCAGTGTCCTCTTTGTCATCAGAGTGATGTCCTTTTCCCTCCCACTGCTGATACTCCAGATCCTTCTCTGCCTGTGAGAGTGCCAGGAGCCACTTTCCACGGGTGTTGCTTACCATAGCGTGTCCATCTTTTCAGGTTGGAAGTAAAAGGACCCTTGTTCCATGCCTCATTCTGAAATGCACCCTTTCCAGGGCCAAGGAGTACACTTTCTAGTCTTCCTGTTTTTTTCCTCCCAGGTTTACCTGTATTTGCCTTAAGCAGACTTTATTATGAATTAAAGGCTGGATTTATTGACAAGGATTTAGATTCCCAGATCCTTCCTGGGAATTGGGGTTTGATGTGTTGGTTCAAATTCCTGGAGGAGTCGGTAACAGTTATTTCTAAAACTCCTTTCCTCCTTTCCACTGTGAGCTTTAAAATCTGTTAGTGCCAGTGATATTTTAATGGACTACTATAAATACTATTCTTATGTTATACTATTCTTCTTTATGTAGTATATTTTATCATTAGAAAAAATATGTGGTAGTTTTGTTCATGTCTCTACATGCCCTCATGCCTCTAATCTTCTAAAAATGCAAAAAAAAATTTAAAAGTAGGTACCATAAACAAAGCCCAATAATAATTATCTTTGTGTTCTAATATAACATGACCGTTTTCATGGTGACTACAGAGAACTAAAGTTCGTTAAAATTTTGTTTGTTTTGTTTTTATTTGAGACAGGATCTCATTATATAGTTCAACCTGGCTTTAAACCCACTTTTAACCAAGGCTGGCCTTGAGCTCATGGTGATCCTAGTGCCTCAACCTCCCAAGTGCTGGGATTACAGGCATCCACCATGTGTAGTTCACACCAAATTATTCTGGATTTGGTAACGATTTGTTAGTCTCAGGTAATGCTAGGAAAAAAATCCTACATTTTGAGAAGTTGTTAAACCAGTGATTTTCAAAAAGTTTTGGCCAGGATCTATAGTAAGTTGTGGGAACCCAGTCTATATTTGAATGCACACTGATACACATAGCACAAGTGAAACAAAAGTGTTATCTTTTAGTATGATGACCTTCTAGCTATTCAGTTCAGCTCTGTTTCATTTAGAAATCTGTGGTCTTCATTAAGTTGATTTCACTACTTACAGCTGAAAAATATTTTAGCATGCTGATAGTTACATTTTTATTTTTTAATGTGAATATGATACTTTAGAAGATCCAATTCTTAACAAGTTGTTTTTAGAATTTCATTTCTGATTAATGTGTACTACACATTAATAGGTTCAGTGTGCTACTTCAATTCGTGTATACATTATACACTGATTACATCTAGGCTCCATTTATCCACCTGCCCCTGACTCCCTTCACAACCTCTAGTAATCACTATTCTACATTTAGGTCCACTTTTTTTATACTTTGACATATGTGAGAGATGTATTTAGCCTGTGTGGTAAAGACAGTGTGAGACAAATCTTCATCCACTTCAAAAGAGAAAATTATTTTTAAGTCTCACAAGTTGACAGGTTTATCTCATTTTGCTCTTAGGAACTTCATCACATCTGGATTAGTCAGCATTTTGTTGCTGGGACCAAATACCTGTTAAAGGAGGAAGGGTTTATTTTTGGCTTGTAGTTTCAGAGGATTCAGTCCATGGTTGGAAGGGTGTGGTGTGACAAGCTGGTTTGTTCGTGGTGGCTGGGAAGCAGAACAGAGAGGAAGGGACTATGCATTTGCAAAAGCCAAGGACCACCTAGAGTACCCAAAGTCACACCTCTGCGACTTACCCAGACACGCCCAGAAGTGTGCTGCACCAATCCTCTGGGCAGCTCCCAAACTAATCAGGTTGACACAATTAAGCTTAACCACCACAATGTCCAAGATAAATTTTTCATACTGCATTTTGTAACAAAATCCCATGAAGGGGATTTTATAAAGATAATACCTTGGTAAAATGTTGTCTTATATCCTTTTATAGATGGAGAAAATATCTCTCATAGGGGTTACCGTTGCTGTTTTAAAGAAATTTGTGAAAGTATCATGTATCCTAATTCCAGTGCCAGCACACTTTGACAGTTTCTCCAGCCTTTCTCATGCTTGCATCCTACGGTGCTGTCTTAATGTACTTTGTCTCCCTGGAGGCCAATAAGATCTTGTTGAGTTTGCACAGAATTAGTCTCTTAGGGACTAACTGACCTTGCCTGGTACACGTCTTTACCTAGTTTATTCAATGTGCAGAACACTTTAGTCTGTGTTATAGTATGTGTAAATAATCATCTGTACTCTAAGACTTCACAGAGTGTTGGGACTCTAATTCTAACTAACATACTCAGTTTTAGTCATTTTATTTCTGTAGGAAAACCCATAACTTTTGAGTGAACAGCAATAGTTAATTGGGGTAGTAAGCAGGAGATTTAGTAGGGGATTTTATTTTGATTCATGCAAAAATTAATACTGTGTGGTTTTCTTGTGCATATACCATAGGCCAATTGAGAACTTTGCAATTTATAACTGGAAAGCTAAATTACAAGTAGAAAGCCTATGGTAATAACTCTTGGGGAAAAAAGATGTTAGTTAGAAATAGAGCAGCCCCTCCCTTCCTCTTATCCACAGGGAATACATTTCAAGACTGGTGTAGGCATTGAAGTCTCAGATGGTATTGAACCCTATATATACTATGTATTTTTCCTTTATGTCCTACGCTGTTACCACATAATTCCAGTGTTAATCTGCCCTTCCATGTTTTATACCATGCTGCTCCCTCTGCATCACAACACTTGTACTTAGGGTCCATCACTAAGTAAAAAAAGCATTAAGCACAAGCTCTGTGATGCCATGACAGTCGACTGATAACCAGGATGGTTACTAAACAGCTAATGAGCGTGTGTTGTAGTCAGCGTGGATGTGGTGGATGAAAGAATGAGTCAAAACCTCCCTGGGACTGAGTGTGACAAAGTAAGATTTCATCACACTGCTCAGAACAGCGCTTGCTTTATTTATTTATTTACTTACTTGGTCTTTTTGAGACAGGGTCTCCCTGTGCAGTTCAAGCTGGCCTTGAGCTCACTTTGTAGCCCAGGCTGGTCTCAAACTTGCAATGATCCTCCTGCCTCAGCCTCCTGAGTGCTGGGATTACAGGCATGCACCACCATGCCTGGCTCAGTGCTATATTTAAGTTTATGAATTGTTTATTTCTCAAGTTTTTCACTTCATGTTTCAGACCATGGTTGACTGAAACCATGGGAAATGGGGGACTTAATGGATCACTCATTTTAAAGGAGAGATTATTTCTAATGAACACATTTATCAACATTTATGTGAGATTCATTATTGATCTTATTTTTTGAAGAAACTAAAATCAAATCCTTCACAAAAATGTGATAAATGGACGACAAAATACCAATGCCTATTAGAATTATTTTGTAAGTTAGATCAGTTGTTCCAGATTCATTAATCCCTTTCAGCCGTCTTGCAACCTACCAGTGATATCAAACATGGTAAAATTCATTGAGTATCTGATTTTTTATGATTTAGGCCTGCGCAGTTATATAGAATAAGAATGCACGTGCTAAGGGACCATCTCGTAT